AATGACGTGATTGGGGTTAGTCAGTATTGGCCGCTGCTTCACTGCCAGTCCTGGATTGACACGCACATTGATGTCACGCTCCAGAAGGATGACCACCGACCGGCGAGAGTCACCCTTGAATGGCATGCAGCTGCACTGTCAAATTTGACTCAACAGAAATTGCGCAAATGCCCAGCCAACTTCTGCATGATGGCTTTGGATGAGGTGAAACTCAAGCAAAATACAGACGATTGGTTTTGCCTTGACGTTCACACCCATTTCCATAACCTCCAGACTGACTTGGCAGCATGCACTAGGAGCGAGCATCATAGCCCTGTGAGACATCCACACAAAAAGACGATGTCAGAAGAGACATGGATGCTTGTTTGCACTAAACGCAAATGGAGAAGCAATCTTGCCAGATGCCAGCAACTTCAGCGTAAGACCTTTATGCAGACTCTTTTCTCTTCATGGCGAATTGCATGTTTACCCAATGGGAACTCGTGTAGCCAGAAAGATAGCACTGCAGAATTTGATCTCATTCTGAAGCAACTTGACATTGATGTGGCTACCGCTCTTCACCAGTTTCGATGCTATGGTCGACAGGTCACGCAAGCCCTCCGCCGGGATGATGCTCACTTCTATGCTTCTTTGGCACAAGAGAGCTTGCAATGGCTTGGTCCCAGACACACCCGCCAGCTTTGGCAGACCCTCAGGCGTAATCTGCCCAAGTTCAGGCAGCGGAGAGTCGGATATGATCCACTGAAGATCGATGCGCTTGATGATCAATGGATGCCACATTTCTGTCAGTTGGAGGTAGGGCAAAATGCCACCCGAAGGCAATTGCTTGAGGAGTGTCATGCTAGGCAGCTTGCAACACCAATCCAGCAGCATGATTTCGACATGAGTGATCTGCCCACACTTGGGCAGCTTGAAGATGTACTGCGCCAAACACCAGCAGGGAAAGCAACAGGCTTTGATGTCCTTCCTTCGCAATTGTTTCGCCAGTATCCATGCGATCTTGCTGATGTGTTCTTTCCTCTTCTTCTCAAAATGTTTTTATGGCAACATGAACCGATTGCTGGCAAAGGAGGACAGCTTGCAGTGATTCACAAAAAGGGGAGCCCTTTTGCGGCACAGAATTACCGTGGCATTATGCTTCTACCAACATTCACCAAGAGAGTTCATGCCTTATTGCGCACGCAAATCATGCACCTTCTTCATCGCCAGCGCCCACCAGGGCAGCTAGGAGGATTTGCCCACCAACAGGTGATGTATGGATCCCAATCCTTGCAGCTTTTTGGGCGCATTATGGATAGCCAAAATATCACCTCAGGTATTCTCTTCTTGGACCTCACTACTGCCTTTCATCGGCTTGTACGTGAATGGACTTCTGGTATCAATGTTGATGCCGACCTTGAAGAGGTCCTTGCAGCGATGGATATGGAAGGCCTACCAGTGGCCGAAATGTGCAGCCGATTGCACTTGCCCTGCTTGCTGGAGCGACTTGGTGCACCTGCTTTTCTCATCCAACTCATCAAAGATGTGCACACCAATACTTGGATGACAGTAGGCTCCAAGCCAGCCATCGCAACCACGAAACGGGGAACTCGCCCCGGAAGCCCGCTGGCAGACTGCATTTTTCATGTACTTATGTCAGATATTTTGCATCACCTCCAAGCTTGGATTGACGTGCAAAAGGACTTCAATGAAATTTTACAAGAGTTTGATGTTCCCGGAAGCCTTGTCGCTTGGGCCGACGATTTAGCAATCCCTTGGGCAACACGAAGAGCGGAAGAGATGCCTGCAGCATTACGAGCGATCTTGAGCTTCGTAATGCAACTCTTCCAAAGCTATGGGTTCTTGCTTAATTTGGACAAGGGTAAGACAAGCGCTGTTGTTTCCTTTCGTGGAACAGGCTCACCACAGCTGCGACAAAGATACCAACTGGGACCCCGACCGGGGGACACCATGCAAGTGGATGGTCAGACTGTGTTTTTACACTATGTGCCTTCATACAAACATTTAGGTACTATTTTTGCTGCCAACCACAAGATGGATCTTGAAATTCGTAGCCGCATTGGGCAGGCGCAAGCTGCATTCAATCAGCTTTCCAAGCCGATCCTTGGAAATAGGCATTTGCCTGAACACACACGGGTGCAGTTGTTCAATTCTCTTGTGGGGACAAAACTCTTCTTTGGATTAGGAGCCTGGTTGACTCCTACGCAGAGGCAGATGGCTAAGCTCAAGGCTGTGCTGCTGCGCATGTTGCAACGGGTATTGCGCCTTTCCAAAGATGAAATTATAACCACTACTGCCTCCGAAGTTTTCAGAAGGGCACGACAGCCTGATCCGAGAGTGAAACTTGCTGTCGACCGTCTCCTCTATGCGCAGCGACTCTGGCAACATGGCCCCGCCGATCTCCAACATCTCATTCATCGGGAACATGCTTTAGGTCCTGTCTCTTGGATGGAAGGCCTTATTGCTGATTTGAAATGGATGCAGACGTTGGAGCAGGAAGTCAGTCCGCCAATTGATCTTTCTGATCTTACGAGACTTTTTGATTTTTGGCAGAGCGGGTCACCAGAATGGCAGAAGCGGGTCAAGAGGGCTCACAGACGGTTTATACGACAGGAGCAGATGATGCACAAGATGCATCGAATGCACCGGCAGATTATGAAAACTCTGCAAAGCGATGCGACATTCCTTGGGGATTTGCCTCAGGATTTGGATCAGCAAGGAGATGCACACACATGCTTTTGCGGACGCTGCTTCACTACAGCCCAAGGGCTTGCAGCCCATAAGCGCAAACAGCATCACATGGGTGCGATGGAAAAGCACCTTATCGACAGCCCAACATGCCCTTCGTGCTTAAAATTCTTTTGGAGTCGACAAAGATTGTATCAACACTTGTCCTATATCCCAAGAAGAACTAAGATCAACAAATGTTTCCAGGACCTTCAAAAAAGAGGCTTTAGAGTTCTGGAAGACATTGCGCCTGCACCCTCTGCTCAACCTCATGGACTGCACCGTACTGAGGCCTTACAAGCATTAGGACCCCGGATGCAACCGAAAGATTCCCGCACCAATGACCTGATGCTGACCAGACATCAACTTGCAGCGACAGAAGCTGCGATCCATAACATTGCTAGGCCAGAGGACGCCGAGACCCAACAGGCGACCTACTGGCAACATCTGACAATGATTACGGAAGGTTGGTTTAGAAGGTTCCAGGATTCAGGCTTTGACTCCTCCATCATCACCCAACTACCAGATGAGTGGCTTGACGCCGCTGCAACTGCTGATCCCGCCTTCCCTGAATGGCTGGAAAGTGTGTACATCGGTTGGGGGGAGAAGTGTTTGGAAGAAGTCATTGCTCGCTTTGAGGACGGTGAAGCGGAACTCCTGGTTGATAGTGCGTTTGCAGATTTCATTTATGAGTTTCCGAGGATGCAAGCGCTTGCAGCAGCAGCTTTTTTGAAGCAGAAAATCGGACGTTTGGAGCAAGAACATGGCACGGTATTTCCTCACAGACTGCCACGATTTGGCACGGCTAATGCCAAGGAACGCAACCAGACGGCATTGCACATTCCTTCCCTTTTTGCACAACAGTCAGATTGGTTGGCGAAATTGAGGGCTCTCAAATTTGATGTGATCCCAGACTGCACCAGTATTCCACGGAGTATTGATGAATGCACGCAATTGCCAACTTTTTTGATTGTCCACCTGTTCAGTGGCCGCAGACGTGCCACGGACATCCATGCCAAATTGGAAGAGTTTGCACATGATCGCGGATTTCGAGTCCAAGTTTTGTCCATGGACACCGCGGTTTCTGTTTTCTACGGTAACCTGCAAGAGGGCCATCAAACTTGGAAATTCCTTTTGGCCTTGTATCAGGCCGGCCGAGTTTCAGCAACCATTTGCGGGTCTCCTTGCGAGACCTTTTCAGCGGCCCGCCACCACCAACCTGAATCTGTGCCTGGAGAACGGCCCAAGAACTGGCCGCGCCCTCTGAGGAGCGCAATCAGATTCTTTGGTCTGGACGGCCTCACAGCCCGTGAGCTGAAACAAGCTGAACAAGGGGCCGCCTTTTTCATGCAAGGCATCATGGTTGCAGCTTGGACTCTCCGATTTGGAGGAGTATACCTCAGTGAACACCCGTGGAAACCGGAAGACGAAGCCAAAGTCAGTATCTGGACGTCTCCATGGGTTGAATTGCTCTTACAATTGCCCAATGTTCGACTACACAGAGTCTGTCAATGGAGATGGGGTGCCTCTGCGTCAAAGCCTACGGGCATTTTGGCGATTAATTGCCCTTCCTTTGCGCAGTCTGTGTACAGACGACAATTGCCCGAAGCAGTCAAACCTCAACAAGTCGCCGTTGGCAGAGATTCCAAGACAGGTGTTTTCCGAACAGCAGTACTTAAAGAGTACCCACCTGCATTTTCGGCGGCGCTTGCCGGAGCAGTTGTAGATTCATTTGTTTCTGCTCTGCGACAACGCAAGCTGTCCATTGGCGCACCAGTAGAGCCTGAAGTCGAGCTATGGTTGCAAGAGGCCTTGACTGCAAGTGCAGTCATCCGCACAGAAGCTCCATGGTTACCTGACTTTCAAGGCTAGTCTTTTGTATTTAATTAAATTTGACGTTCGCACGGCGGAACGATGCACGGCGGCAAGGTGACAACCTTTTGCGCAGTGAAAGTGAGAAAAAAGAAAAAAGATACAATCAAATATATATATATGTAATTATACATTTTTTTAAATATACTAAATATACTACAGTTATTTCATTGGATTGGTTTAAGGGAAAATTTACAGGGAAACACGATATTTGATGGTAAAACCCATAGTTTCCGGTTAAGATTTTCCCGAAGAAGCCAATCCAGTGATTATTGGAGATTATGTATATATATTTATATGTATATATATATGTATACACATTGTTTTTTTATATACTACAGTTATTGGATATCTGTTGTTACACACATGTTATGTTCGCCACATCGCCTCGGTGATGTCAGGTTCGCTGCAGCGGCTCCAGCTCCTGCGTCTTGGAGCGGTTTGGAGCGAAAGATCTCGGCGAATTGCGCGAAATCCCTGGAGCCTTGGACGAAAAATTGGAACTGGACGAATTGGGACATATTGGAACACATATATACAGTATATATTAATATCTACATATATGTATATATGTATGTATATATGTATAGATATGGATATACCATGTACATTGGGATATAAATATATCTATATATTGGGGTCAACACTTGTTTTTTTTTGCTGAACCGAACTGGTGATGTGATGGTGATGTGATGGTCCCCGGCTTTGGTGAGGGGGATTTATGCTGAGCAAATCTACAGAGATGTCATGCTACTCACAGATGATTTTAAACCAGGCAAATATGTATATATATATATTCCTGAGCATTATCAACTATCATCAACTATCATCAAAATTACTGTAACTATCACTATCATCAACCATCAGCTATCACTGCCAGGACCGCTCTGACCTCCCCAAGAATCTCTTCGCGGCAGCGTCCCACGAGGACCGCGTCCGCGTCCCACGGTCCCTGGAGGAGGAGTTGGCGGCGGCACGCTTCGAGGCGATGCAAGCGGTGCGGGCGCGGCACAAAACCGCCGCGTCCCAGGGCGCGTCCCAGGGCGTGTTCCGCGCCGCGGGGTCCTGAGGGTCCAAAAAGGTGATGGATGGTGATGGAATATTTGGATGATGAAATAGCCATGATTATGGGTTTATGAGATTATTATGATGTACCATTATAATCGCCACCGGTTGGTGGCTTGGAACCATGGTTCATGAATTTGAGTTGATCAAGTTGGATGATCCAGTAGTAAGTGTGATGTACTACTGGTGTGATTTTCTCGGAATGACGGACCCAAAGGACCCAAAGGACCCAAAGGACCAGGATATTTAATTCACTGAGAATCAAGGTTACCCAGAATGAACCAGAAGGATTGGTTGGTTTAGGAACATGAGAAATGAACAGGCAACAATAGGCATACCCTCTGGTAAACTGTCCCATAACTATGGAAAGATCCACCATCTTTTTCATAGGTAAATCAACTATCTGCCATTTTCAATAGCTATGTAACAAATTACCAGGCCGGGTATTGTGTGTTGCCATTTGGCAACGATGGGAAGTTTCTTGTTGAACCAAGCGAAGTTAAACACCGCACTGAGTCGATGCCGAGCGAAAAAATCCGGTTGGTTGATTCACAGATCAACAAGCCATGGGGTGTCCATAGTCATGGGGGTACCATCTGGTAAACTAACAGTTTGCTATTGAAAATGGTGCTAGAAATAGTGGATTTACCCATTAAAAATGGTGGATCTTTCCATGCTATGTGACAGTTTACCAGAGGGTACCCAATAGCTGGATGGTTTATTTCATGGCAAATCCGAAAATGCATTGGATGATTATTAAGGGGGTATCCCCGTTTCAGGAAACCTCCATTTTTGGCATTTTACTGCCTGGTAGGGGATTCTCAATCCGGATTTTTTGTTGATGAAACAACCAGTAATATTTGAAAGACATGGTTTCAAAAAGAAACATGTACCATCTGGTTATTTAACATAGCCATGGAAAATCACCATGTTTAATAGGTAAACCCAGGTAAACCATCTATAAATGGGCCATCTATACCATGGCTATGTTAAATAACCAGAGGGTAATTACAAAACAGGAAGGATATACCCTTAGGCCGCAATCAACTCTGGCAACTGATGTTCTGCTGCAGGGTAGCCGTTTGTTCGCCAATGGGATGCACCTAAGGGATTTAGACAACAAAGAAAATCGCCGCTATATCCCATTGAAAAAACGCATGTTCCATGTTTGCTCCATAGCTACGGAAAATTGCCCATTTATTGATGATTTATCTTGGTGTTCCAGTTAGCTACGTTGCGGGTAAATCCCCATTCATATCCCATAGAACCCCCATGGTTTTCGCAGGTTTGCCAACTGAAATTGCTGGGCGTCACCTTCTTGGCCAGGTTGGAGTGAGCACGCGCAGCGCCCCACGGGTTCCCATGTCGCCCCTGGTGGCGCGAATGCAGGCGTTGTTCGGGCGTCCTAAACCCTGATGGCTTTGTTCAGAAATGGGAAAACGTGGGGATTGGTCAAAACATATGATACATAGTATATCTGGTTGGTGGTTTGGAACATTTTTTATTTTTCCATATATTGGGAATAATCATCCTAACTGACTAATATTTTTCAGAGGGGTTCAAACCACCAACCAGATATAATTGCTATATGTACATAATATATATATATATCATTCCATATCAGTCCATATCAGTCCATATGGAGGTTTCCTAAAATGGATACCCCAGTCCTCATCCAGTCGTCATGGATATCCATGACGACTGGTATTGAAATGTTCTGATTTTGAGGATTCCTCATTGTAGTAGACCGCCATAATGATATTTTTTATTAAGACATATAGGGATTGGTCAAAAGCTGTTATTACCAAAAACGAGTTGGGGAGCCATCCAGCAAAAAACCAGGCTTTTGATCAAAAAATCTCAACTGCACCACCAAGTACAGGACAGGATCCAATTTTGACGGTGAATGCCCTCGCAGGCTGCGCAGCAGCACACAGACAGCGTCCGGAAACCTGTGAGAACAGAGCGCCCTTTCCAGTGACAGCGTCCAAATGACAGCGTCCAAAATACCAATCGATAGAGTACTAGAGGGGTTATACTACCTAGTTACTAGTTTGGGATTTCCTAAAATGCAAGTACTCCAATAGCTGGATGGTTTATAATGGAAAATCCGAAAATAGAATGGATGATTTAGGGGTACCCCCATTTTAGGAAACCTCCATATGGCGATTACTAGAATCATGGGAGCCCCTTTTTTACCAGCCAATAGGCCCCATTCCAACCTGGCATCACTGATTACAGTAGCTCGTGACATCTCCACAGGGACTTGGTTTTTTGTTGGTGAAAAAGCCAGGCTTGAGCAATGTTCTGGGTAAATTATAACGACCTCACTACGACCTCACTGGGAATCATGGTTAGTAAGGGAAATCATCCCCAAATGGGCTTAATTCAGGTTAGTGAAATATTATAATTTACCCAGAATGTTCAAAAGCCCTGTTGCCTGTTGATGATTCATGATGATTCATGATGGCTTATACTATCCAATATGTTGGGGATTATGAAAGTCAATTCTGGTGGGAGATCCGTTCTTTACCAACCAGTACAAAGGCGACGTTTCACATTTTGAACACCATGGTGATCCATAGTGTAGGTTTCCTAGTTCATGAATCGTGATAATCCACAAACAAAAGAAAGTATAACCCCAGAACTAGTCATCAACTAGAGTTTAGCAGCCACATAGCTTCTCCCAATCATCTTTCCAATCATTATCCCCAGAGTATCTCAGAATTTCCAAGAATTATATGGCAACTTTTGGACCCAGTCATAGGCCCCCCGTTTTGGCTAAATCCTCCCCGTTTTGGCCAAGGAGCTGCCAAGTGGGAGACCGAGTTTTTCTTTTGGATGGATCGATATATTGTGGCTTCATAGAGGGACCGGCCGGGCCCCGGCCTCGCTTGTGGTTTTTCTGAATCAGCCAAAATGTGCGACTCTAGTCACAGATCAAAGGAAAAACCACAAGATGTCTATCTATATCTTTTCTAAATCAAAGTCATCTATATTTTCTAACTCAGGATGTTTTTAACAGCAGAAGTGTTTCGTATCAGAAGTGTCACGGCTTCTTGGCTTTGAGATGCTTCTAGTCGCAATCTGACCTTTTATCTGACACCGAAGTGATGGCAGTGCCCAGGCCCAAAAGAGGCTCCACCCGAGAGCGACAGCGAAGTCCCGGAGATGGTCCAAATGGACAAGGAAAAACTGCTGGTATCTGCTGGTGGTTTATCCGCCGTAGATCAAACAAATTGTGAAAAATGTGTTATATAAACGGATATAGCTGGTGGTTTTAAGGAAAAAGGCTATGAACATGACTATTGCAATTTTTCATGTCATACTCAGATCCTGGTGAATTTGTAAGAGACTATTCATGACTATTGTCTAGTTTAATGTCGTGGATTCGATCGTTGGATAGGACAATTTGATACATTTTATGTGATTTTCGGATGGATGATTTATCCCATAATTGATCCAATTCAATCCAGTAAATCGGATGATTTGGTATATCAATTACCCTCCAGTAAATTAACATAGACCCTGGCAGATGGAGGTTGGAAGATTAGTTTCCACTAAAAAATTGTCATTTTCAGGGTCTATGTTTATTTACCATAGGGTAATCCAAAAAGGGGACGGTTTTTTTCGAGGATGGTTTGGACAAGCTGGGTTTTTCCTGATCATTTTGCCGTTCGGATTGATGGGAGTCGTAGCATGTTGACCCTGTTGATTGATGATGAGTTCGGGGATTATACTAGCCAAAGTTCATTGGGGAATATCACGATCCATGAACAATGATCCATGAACAATCCCGTTCTCAACCAACCAATATGTGAGTTCTGTCTGAAAATAGGCTTCCACATTCCATCTCATGATTGGGAAAAAGCATGTTTCCCGCGTTTTCGAAGCACTAAAGTGCGGTAAAGGCAGCATCATTCTTGATCAAAGCCATCTCATATGGCTGGTTATTGTTGACTATAATTATATATATATATGTATATAATATATATATGTCCCAGGTCTCCAATTTTCGCCAACGATCTCCCATCACAAAACCCCGGCTTATCGCCGCAGGAAGACTGGAAGGAAGTTCTGGTGTCCTTAGACAGTGAGGCGGAATCCCGGAACGATCATCCAATGGTTCTGATTGACGAGGGCACAGAGAATTTATACCCTCTGGTTATGTCAAAATAGCTATTGAAAATGGCCATAGAAATAGTGGATTTTCCCATTAAACATGGTGATTTTCCAGTTCGTTATGTGACAGTTTACCAGAGGGTAATGGTATGAATCAGCAATTACGAAGATATGTCTGAATGATCATACCCTCTGGTAAACTGTCACATAACTATGGAAAGATCCACCGTTTTCAATGGGTAAATCCACTATTTCTAGCACCATTTTCAATAGCTATGTTAAATTACCAGAGGGTAAATGTAAATGGATCTAGAACCAGAATTTCTGTGGACATGCTGCACAGTTACGCAGGTGAAGGTGCTTGAAGAAGAGTTGATGCAGATGCCCACCAGGTTTGCCGAAGAGTCCGGATAAAGTCATTGATGCATCAACTGGGTGCGAGGGGAGGGATATCATGGGATATCATGTCCATGGTCCATATATGGAATGGATGGTGCATATTAACTAAAACCATGGTTTCCCAAAAAGGTCTTCCTATAGGAATTCTTGAATCGGGAGATTACGTTTGCGACGTAGCTGCTTGGCTAGGGTGAACTAATCACAAGATGGTATGCAATGGACATGTGATATCGGAAGATATTATGACATATTATGTACCATTGTGTTCTACAGTATTTGTTGATCACGAGTTTCCCGGCTAAGATGAAACTTTGGGGGTATACCCTATTTTCAGGCACACCCATATTTCATATGGTTGGTATTATATCCATTAATTAATTATATCCATGAAACATGCCCTTGTCAGGTGTTTATTCCCGAACTTTCGTTGGTAAATCAACTTTTCTCACCTTTGGCGCCATAGCATGTCTCCATAGCATGTGTTTCTCTTTTTAACCACCATTACAATGTAGCAATAACCATAACGTTAACCGTTATATTAGCCAAAAATAGCCCAAATATTACCCAGAATCCATTATATTAAACATGATATTCTAGTAACCTTAGTCATATCCATATTATTAACCATTATGAAGTATATTATTCTGATAATCTTCGTCACAACCACTCACTCCATTTCGCAGGTCCTGGTCATCAACATGGCTCCAGGACTCTAAGGACTTGTCGAGGCCAGGTCCATTCTCCTCATGCCTATGAAAAATGGCAAATTTGAATCACGTTTTGGTCATACTTGGGATGTTTTTGGGACCGATCTTCAAAGTGCATTTTGGGTGATTTTGGATGGTTTTTGCGACCCTTCAAAGTGGGACCACACGATGCAAACGAGGAGCTACCCAGCTTCCCATGTTCCTTTTTCCTTGCAAGCATTTCGGATTTGTCTTAGAGTTGGTCTAGGCGAGCATTTACAGGAAACCCTTATTATTTGTGAGTATGCCCTCTGGTAAACTGTCACATAACTATAGAAAATCACCATGTTTAATGGGTAAATCAACTATTTCTATGGCCATGTTCTATGTCGCTATGTAACAAATCACCAGAGGGTAAGCATGCAAAAACCCATGGTTTTTCTCGTAAATTCTCCTTGACACCAATCCATTCTCTGTCTGACAAGTAGATGGTCTTACTATGTCTTGCACAGCAATTTGGGTTTCATACCCATATGCGAACCATGGTGCTGGTATATTTACCTACAAAACTGGGTCATTTATGGGGTAAATGTTGCTAAATATTCCAGCACCATGGAGCATTTGGTTTCATATTCCCTACCGGTAGAGAAATGATGGCACCAGAGGTGGAGTGAAAAGCTCTGGACAGATCTTGGTGACCTGCGCTACCAGGCGGGATGCCCATTGCGATTTTTCAGCAAGCCATGTTTGATTACCGGTGGGTCAACTATAGCAACCCCCCCCAAACAAATAGAAAATTGTGACATCCTGCTGAACATCAGGGGTGAAGCATAATCTATGCTCATCTATATGTTGGAGGATTACTATCGAATTTCAATAGGCAAAATGATGGCCATGAACAATAGTGAAACTGATGACCGATCATCTGAGTCATTACCGCAGTAGGTGGGAACATGTTTTGTTGATCCAGCTCCAACGGGACCAAGTCACCCAAAACGCAGGTGAAAATGCTTCAAAGATCAAAGCATTACGACTCTGAAGTAAAGCAGGTGCCGTTTTGAGCGAACCGAAGCTCAGGGGCTGGAATATACCCTCTGGTAAACTGTCACATAACTATGGAAAATCACCATTTCTAATGGGTAAATCCACTATAAATGGCTTTCAATAGCTATGTTAGTTTACCAGAGGGTATCTTAAGGGAACATCTACAGGAAACCATTTTTTAAGCATCAAATATATGGTGTTCCTGTCATGTTTGCCTTAAACCAATCCAATGAATATACACCCAACAAATCCGTGTGTTGATCATCAGTTTTCCCATTAAGACCGTGTTCAAGTTTGTTGCCTATTTTGGAGATCATATTGTTGGCGAAATCCCACCCCCAAAAAAAAACAGCGTTTGGACACCCCAATCATCAATCATTTCCCACCATCAAATGCACATGCATTGGGGTATGTTCATTTTCTTGCGGATCTATCCCTTTCAAAAATATCAATGAAGTATCTCGATATCATGAGTTTCTACCCCCATGTTTAACGTGGTAAATCGATGTAAATCCTCCATTTTCAGTCACACCCCAAATTGGATACCCACAATAGTTGGGTATCGGTATACATATATCATATATATATATAATCCCATAATATAATATTCCAATAAATATCCCACTAAAATCTAATGAATCCCAGTAAATTCATCATTCAAATCCCATGAATTATTATGCCCATTTTTATAGCTAAATCCCATGATTTTTTTGCTGCCAAGCCTGACCCTCCGGCTGAGGACGAGAACAATCCCCCCTTCCTTCGCCGGAAGGTGCGGCACGATAAATTTTGGGTGTGCCATCAGAAAAATATCGTTGTTACCCGCGTCAATGGTCACTTTCCATGGGAGGAAATCTGTTTTTGTTTACCAATAGAAATAGGGGTAGAACCAAGAAGGTGATTGGAATATCTGTTAATAATGGGTCGTTGACCATGAAAAAGGTGCGGCTCTAAAATGGTTTCAGCATCCTGAAATGGGAGTTCATATTGCAAACATTAAAATTATCACGGGGAGATTATCAGAAATGTACTATGATGAATTTTACATATATTTACCATATGGGTGGTAATGTTTACCATTTTAACTTTGAGCGATTATGTCGAATCACCAACCAATTGGAACATATGTGGATATGATTGATGGTAATACTATATATATACATGTACGTATGTATATATATAGTTGGCCAATAGTCTTACCAGCCAACTATTGAACATTTTCAGTCGAATGGGCTATTGGATGGACATGGCAACTAACTGAATCAATGAGGATCTTTTTCTGCACCCATGCGGTGTTTGAAGTACACATTGTCTAATCAGGAGGAAACGCGGATTTATGTCGGGGTTTAACGGTTTAACGCACCATTTTTTTTTAATTGAGAACCCATAAATACAATGCACATACTAACATGTATATAAAATTACATGTAACGAATGTGTATATATATACCTCGAAGCATAAACCTGAAAGCTTCTTGTTGAGCCAATGTAGCGACCCGATGAAGTCACACATAGTGGCAATCTTTAGTTCTGTCGATGGTTAGTATGTCTTCGAAAGCTATCTCTATCCACCGGTAGTACCATCTATCAGTAGATACTGTGTATATATAGTCATATAATATATGTGTTTCCAAAAATCTCCCCGATAGTTAGATAGTTCCACACCATGGTTATATTTCAATAACATGTTTGAGTGCAGCGATAGTCCGTAAAGTTATATGCCCAACAATAACAAACTTCCTGAGTATTTTGCATCCAGCACCACTCAAGAAAGTCAACAGTATCCACAAAGCCAATATCCAATATTCAAAAAAAACAACCATCATATATAATAAACAACTATACCATATACCAATACCAAGAAAAATGTCCAATAATATAACATCAATATATATATATATTATGGGATAATATGAAGAACAATGGTTTATATCTCCATATTATTTCCAATGCTTTTTTGATCTCCGGCAGGCCGTGGGCTTGCACATCTCTACCTACAGGGCGCGGGTCTCAGGGTTTCTGGTCTCACCCGGCCCGGGTTCAGGAGATTGGTGGTCAAACATGGCAACAAAGAGATAGGAAAGGACGTTGGGCATAGCCATGGTATAGATGGCCCATAGAAATAGATGGTTTACCTAGCTATAAAAATTGGTGGATTTTCCATGGCTATGTTAGTCATAACCAGATGGTATTATATCTGGTATGTATACCATCTGGTTATTTTTATATATAAATAGTCTTTCCAGGATGGTACATACCAGATTAATAAAACTGTCATTTTTATTACCATCCTGGAAAGACTGTTCTATCTTTGAGGGGGATGACCAGATTTTGTTACCATGTTGGACCGCTGATTTTGGATGGGTGATATTGGAGGAAATCCATGACCAGGGGATTTTAGAGTAGCGCTTAATTTCACCCAATTGCTTCATGTTGCACACATTTTAAGGGAATTTTCATAAGTAAGGAGAATGGCAGTATGATTTGGGATATATGGCTTTGTGAATAGAAGTCGGGTAGAGCCCAGAATGTGCATGTTAACATGGAACACTGGTTGGTGGTTTGGACCATTTTTTATTTGTCCATATATTGGGAATAATCATCCCAACTGACTAATATTTTTGAGAGGGGTTGAAACCACTAACCAGTTATGATGAATGGTTTTTTCTTGGCCAACACCTCCAGCCTTGTTGTTTTCCCGATCTTTTGGGGACTCCTTAAGCCATCAAAAACAGGTGGACATGCAAGTAACTTACCAATGAACTTATCCAAAATCTTGAGTATTTACAATTTGCATATAGTGACATATGATATACCCTCTGGTAAACTGTCACAAAACTATGGAAAATCACAATTTTTAAGGGGAAAATCAACTACTTCTATGACCATTTTCTATGTCGCCGGTCTCGCCAGATGCCTGGTTGTACAGGATTGGCTCAAGACGAAAATCACCAGGGGTTTAAAACCACCAGTCACTGGTGTTCCAACGTTATGAAAACAGTGATAGTAATGATGATAATATAATATATATATACACCCATGTATATATATATACATATTATATATATATATGTTTATTGATATGTACTGTATGCACATGTGTGCAATTTCCTACTACCAATGTTCCACAGCTGTGCAACCTTCCCCTTCATGTCGCTAGGCACGGCAAGGACAAGAATTCGAGAGCCTGCTGGAGGAGCAAGATGCCTTGGAGGCTCGGAAATCCATTGAAAGATCCACTAGAAATGGGGAATCTGTAGGGAATCTGTAGGGAATCTGTTGGACACATTTTGGGGTTTCCTTATCTTAGTTTCCTGGGTAAACCAATGCGATTTTCCTCGCCCAAGTGAGGGCATGGGTTCGATGGACTCTGCGCAAGGGGTGTCCGGGGTGTCCTTAAGAAATTCAAGAATAGCAAGAGCTGATTATGAATTATGAAAGGTTAGCAATAATTATGATCATATGGATAATTAGTATTGGGTTATTTGGATATAATTATGATCATATGGATAATTATGAGAGGTTATTACCCCCAAATAACCATGACGATGATCACATGGATTGATAATGGTGTATTCATCATAGCAATGGTCCTTTACTCAGGGTCAACCGCAAAATGATGATGACGGCTTTATCAATATTTTTGTATGTGTCAAAACCGATTGTTATCATCTTTGGGAGAATTTTCCCAGCCATTAACCAGCTATTTAAGGTACCAAAAGTGTCCCAGGGTTTTGACTCACCACCAATCACCAAGCGTCACCTGGAGGGGTTGGGGAAATCCGACTGGTGAAAGGACTGGTGAATGGTTGGTGACTTGCTCTTTAAGGAATACCCTCTGGTAATTTAACATAACTATTGAAAATGGCAATTTATAGTGGATTTTCCCATAAAAAAATAGTGATTTTCCATAGTTATGTGACAGTTTACCAGAGGGTACTGAGAAGCAATATCCAAAGAAGAATTGAGATTTGCTTCTGCTTTTTTATGTGAATGTTGAACAATGTTGAACAAAATCCAGCTATGGACATGTTTTACCATGAAAAAGAGTTGATTTCCTGGCAAAGGTTTGGATTCTAGCAGAAAATCCCTGTGGTTTTGCCGGGATTCTCCTGGCCGCCCTGGCATGGATATTATATCCGGCTGAAGATGAACTTCCTTGGGGGTGATACCTGAGGTTTCATAGGGCTTTTCCAATGCCCATGATGCAAAAAGTCCCCGTCATGATTCTGGGATGACCTATTTTTTCCCACCATTTTTCGTCAACAAGATGTATAACATGTGGATTCCCCCTCCCAAAACATCGAATCCCGTGCTCTTTCGCATCCTTTCGGCAGACCCATCGAAAAATGCGATTGGTTATACCCTCTGGTAAACTAGCATAGCGAACTGGAAAATCACCATTTTTAATGGGAAAATCAACTATTTCAATGACCATGTTCAATAGCTATGTTAAATTACCAGAGGGTATATGGATGTTTATCCCCATATATCCAATAGTAGCATATTAATCCTAATTATATCCTAGTACCCTCTGGTAGACGTTTACATAACGAACTGGAAAGATCCACCATGCTATCTAGCTGGGTAAATCCACTATAAATTACCAGAGGGATCCAGAGGGTAGATCTCATCTAAACTCCCAGCTTCTATCGGCGTGTTTGGTTCCCGGGCACTAGAGTCCACGGGTTCAGAACCAGCAATTTTGGATGGTATACGGGGCCATACATCATTTTCAGACACGGCCATGTCAAACAAATTCAATTCTATCCACCAAAAAAAACCATGTCATGGGTTTACTTTACCCTTGTCATTGTTGGTTAAACCCTCCATTTTTCCCATGGTTTTCGTACCCATGGCATCCCCAAACATCCGAGCTCCGCGCTCCGCGCTCCGCCGTGAGGCGTCGCTGCGGAAACTGCAGCGCTGCTTCAAGGGCTGGGAGGAACGGCCCTGCGAAGGTTTGGAGTCCGAGCGGTGCCAAACATGGGCGATTTTCAGATCTGGTTGGTGGTTTGGGACATTTTTTATTTTTCAAGATATTGGGAATAATCATCCCAACTGATTAATATTTTTCAGAGGGGTTGAAACCACCAACCAAAGATGGATGGATGTCCCATTCATGGGCACCTAGAGTAGGAACATAAGATATTCGCTAAGAATCATGTCCCATTTAGATATGGCCGGAATTCATCTTGGAACCTGATTTTCTGAAGCATAGGGTTTTTTGAGGTATCCTCCCAGGGTTCAACAATCTTCAGGATCCCACGAATGTGTGGTAGTGGCGTACCATTTCCCGGATCACCACTTTAAAACTCCGTCAAGGCAACAGTACTCCTCGGAGTGGATCAGTCGCCACAATCGGGTGGTTGTCCCCAGCTTGATTTTTTTGTGGGATTTTTTTCTTCCCAACAATATTTTCGCATATCATATATATATCATTTAATCATTAATTTAATCTAAGTTGTGCTAAAATCAATCGATTGATTGCCTCATAATTTTTGGAACATTTGAGCAATGGCTGCGTGACAAACCCTGATTGGTTGATGATCTTTTCGGTGTTGTTTTTACTATCCTTTACATCGACTGGGGATTATCATCGACTGCGGAATCTCCTTCTTAAAACAAGCCTAAGGTGAAAATGACAGGTTGGGTAAACCCCAAAATATCCCGAATTGGATATTGTTGGTGATATTCCCTTGATATCCCAGTTAATCCCCATATCCCCATTCTCTCCCCCTATAATTGATATGTGTTGGTCATACATTCCCATTTTATCCGCCTTAGATCCCATTGCGTGTTTGATGCTTAGATCCTACCCGGTAGGCTTGCCCAGCATCAGCAGTTCAAGTCCAAAGAGGCCGAGTTGGTTTGTTGGTAAAACGGTGGTGAAGCTAGCAATTTCAGCAGAAACCCATCATCAATTCATCAATACTGGTTTAAAAAAAGAGTTGGTTTTGTTATGACCTTGAGTAAGATTTTTGAGATGAAACGATTTACACTCTGGTAAACTAACATAACAATGGAAAATCACCATTTTCAATGGGAAAATCCACTATAAATAGCCATTTTCAATAGCTAGGTTAAATTACCAGAGGGTATCATCTAGATAATGGAATCTTTTGGCATAGAAATGTGCCTTGAAATTCGACCATGGCATGATGGGTATCCAGGTATCCAGGGAGGGCCGATTGCTCACTCCAACGTTGGACATGTTCTGTCTTACCCTTTGGTAATCTAGCAGTTTGCTATGGAAAAGATGGGAAAAACATCTTTTTGAAATATGTTGAATCAGTACATCATCTAAAGCTATATCCAGATAGAGAACCTATAGCCTATATAGCTATAGAACTATCGTTTTATTTGTCATTGATTTTTCTTAGGCAAAAAAACGAACAGGCCAGTTTTTGCTCAGATTGAGGGGGTAAGCTACGTAACAACGACTCTCCGTTCATCGCAGGCCCGACACTGCTGGAACTGCTGGGACCTGAGGGGTCTGCCGATCAGCGCTATTTTTAAGATGACCATGGCATTTTTTTGTTGGGATGATAACTAATACCATACGCTTCAAGAATATTTGATATGTATATATATATATATATATATGAGCAACCGTAAAAACCCCGGCAATACTAAATATGTATTCGACGGACATTGGTTTATGGAAATTGATGGAAATTGTTAAAAACACGAGGTAAGCGATGGGACCTTCCCAAATTAGCGATACCCCTTTTCAAGGTTATGTCATCATATTTTTTCTAATATCCACATTAGCGATACCCAAATATCACATATTATTCATGGTTCATCACATATATATAGATAAATGCAGCAGCTTCCTGCAAGCGATACCCCCCAAATTTACCATATATCATTATTGTACAAACGTGTGGTAAGCGATGGGACCTTCCCAAATTTGTGGATGTCTTTTCCGTGAACCTAGGGTTTTCACAATCGCTCATATATATATATATTTGATATATATATATTTGATATATATATATATATATTTGATATATATATATATATATGATATATATATATATATTTATAATATTTATGAAAAATGGTTGGTTTTTCTTCCTATTTGCCATGATAATATACCCATTATATATTATATATATGGGGGGGGATTTCTCGACCTGGGCCATGGTTGGATTCCGAATGGGATGACCACACCCCCACCATTTAACGCATGACAATGGTTTTTTTATAGGTTTACAAGACGGATAAGATGGTTTAAATGGGTTTAAATGGGTTTAATATACCGGATGACAATGGCTTTTTCTTTGACCCTTAAAAAATTGAGTACAGGCTCAATTGATAGGCCACCGTCTGGATACAGTGCATACATCATGTGTATTTAAGGTGTTTGAGGGTATAGAATTTCATGGAGATATTGTTGTTTTCTCTTAATCCCTTTCTTAATCCCCACTTTCAGGATGGTTAAATCATCATGTGCACCATGATTTTTGGATGGTGAATCCAATCTCCGAGGTTTCGGCTCCAGACATGGTGAGTCGGGGGCGCCAAGATGTCCCAAATTCCCATTGGTTGGTTGATGAAAAAAGAGAGGGTTGAAGAAACCCCTGAAAAACAAGAGGTAAATGATGATAGATGGTATGTTAATGTATATTAGTATATCAAACCGGCCCCTCTATTTTTACCAAAAGGACATTATTGATTCATTTTGTGTGTGCAAGTGCATTTTTAAAAAAGTGGAGTGAGCCACGATTCATCGCGCTGAGTCTCAGCCTCCCCGCTCGGATTTCAGCATCTTTCAACATCTTTCAACATCTTGTTTCAAGTAATTATTGGTAAAACTATGGTAACCATTCTCCGAGAAAATCAGCATTTTTATGACGGTGCTATGGTTCCCATTGTCATTTTTGTGGTAAAAATGACATTGTTTTACCCACAGCATTGGTAAAACCTTCGGTTTTACCCTGCGCTGAGGTCAACCACCCAGCAAGGTGGGGGCAGCCAGATATCCGTCATTGTTTAATCATTGTACCAGGATCAACGATAGATTGGATATGATGGGATTGATATTGAGAAGATCATATGAGGATATATGATATACCCTCTGGTTATGACTAACATAGCCATGGTATAGATGGCCCATTTATAGATGGTTTACCTATCCAAAATTGTGATTTTCCATGGCTATGTTAAATAACCAGATGGTAATTTGTGTTTTTTTTTAATATGATTTTTTTTAAATATGTTTTGGGGCTCTTGCTTTTTTTAGTGATCATATCCATTCGCAAGCGGCAAACCGGGGCCAGTGGATCATCTCAATGTACAGGCAACCGTTTCCGTTCAGTAAAAACTAGTGTAACCCCAATAATTAGACTATGACAAACCCTTTCTACCCCTTTTATCATGTGGTTTTTTCAACACATACCCCAAACCTACGCCCCTTCTACGCATTGAGTGTAGCACAATGCCAAGTCGAGTAAAAATATGGCCCTTAAGGATGGTATACCCTCTGGTTATGACTAACATAGCCATGGTTTTTCGATGGTCCATAGAAATAGATGGTTTACCGTTCGCTTTAAAATGGTGGATCTTTCCATGGCTATGTTAACCAGAGGGTACTTATTCCCATCATATCTTCCCGGTCTTCCCAATTGTATTTTTATATTCCTGGGGTCCCATTATATGTTCCAAAATCATATTCCCATGATATTCCCAAGGAATCTTCATTTAGAGTGACTCAGCCCATATCGTATTCCCCACGGTTTTTCTGATGGAATGACTTCCCAAAAAAATCGGGCATCATACCATCCCCAAAAACCATCCCGGGTCCGAGTTTCGGACCGAAACGGACCGAAACGGATCCAGGATTTGGAGCTGCAGAGCTTGGAGGAAGAATTGAAAGCGCTGGATGCTGAGGATCCGATTTTCGCTCCGATCCGATGTTTTCATCACTGGGAAGTCTCTGCTTGAGTCGATGGGATTTTTGATGTAAACATGTCACCAGCAAACACGCAGATATCTCATAGGGATATATAGGGATTATATATATATATGGGTAAATTATAACGACCTCACTAGGACCTCACCCTGGGAATCATGGTTAGTAAGGGAAATCATCCCCAAATGGGCTTAATTCAGGTTAGTGACATATTATAATTTACCCATATATATATATAACAGGGTGGTCCCGGTTCGTTTTTGGCGATTTCGATTCGATTTTTTACAGAAGGAATTGATTCCCTGAGAATTGGCCTTCGATTCCGCCTAGTGCGATTCGATTAACGATTCGATTCGGAACGATTCGAGTCCTGCGGGGAGTATGGGCGTTAGTAAGCGATTCTTGATTAATATCAATTCGTTAGCTTGCGATTCAATTTCCGATTTGGATTCGTCATTCAAGTTAGATTCGATAGCTTGCGTTTCCATTCGTGGTTCGATTCGATAGCTTACGGTTCTTTTTCAATATACATTTATTTATTTATTTTTATTTATTTATTTATTTATATATATACATACAAATACATACATAAGGAGACATACATACATATATTAATAAATATATGTAGATATTAATTTATATATGAATATATATTATATATTTAAATATACATAAATAATATATATATATATTCATATATAAATATAAAATTTTACATTTTATTCATATAGAAATATACGTGTTTACATTTCTGAAACAAAAGCAGCTTCTCGCAGCCTTTTCGGGCGGCGGGCCGCGGCGATCCCTAGGAACGTTGGATCTTTGACAGGCGTGGGAACATTTGCGGTCCAGCTTGTGTGGAATTCAAAGCTTCTATGATGCACCTCGGATATCCAGGGCAAAATTCACAGTTTCAGACCTCCAGAAGGGTTAGATTATGCTATGTAGGCATGTAGGTACTTAGGTACATATGTATGATAGGATGCATGTATGGATCTATGTGTTTTTGCATATGGATGCATAGGGTTCAAGGCTTCGTACGTAGGCATGTGGAATGCGACATGGAGCCGTAATTCTACAAATCTAATTATGATGCCAATAATATCGAATGCACATCCCAATACCCCCCGAATACAATGGACGGTGATGGAAAAGTGAGTTCATTTCTAACAAACAGTCTTTTGTATGATTGGCTTTCCTCTCCCCAGTGGGCACAATCGAAGCCTCGGATGAGGTTTCAGAGGAGTTTCATACCAGTTTCAAACACTCAGAAGGGACATGTTTGGAATGCAAGTTTGTTTTCCGGTATACAGGTGTTGTATATATATAGGAGCCGTTGCCAGAAACAATACACATATATACATAATAGATATTCGTATCTTAGATTTTCAGTTATATATATAGATAAGTTCAGTGTGAGAGATGAGCCCACGTATAACATATCTAGAAGTTAGAGACACATTCGTAAAATGGTCCATTGTGTTAAGTCAGTCTATTTGTTTGCAGCACGATTGGGTGAAAGGCTTTTTTTGAAAACCAACTTGGTGAAAAAGGAACTTGCCCCTTGGATTTCCAGGGCAGCTTGGACCTCATCCATGAGAATTCTGAGAGGCTTGCAGCGAATCCGGACCGAATCCGGCCCCGACAAGCAGAATCCATTGATTTGTTTCTAGCCGGTGAACACCTCTAATAGCAGCCATGTGACCTCCACACACTGAGCGTGGTTAAGCACCCCTCCTCTGATCTCTCTTGTCCTAGATTCTTGAGCAGAAAACGGGCAGCAATGTAGGCGATCTCAAGCAGAAAGTAGGTAGAAAGTAAGTTCGAACAGATCTCTTGCAGCGAATCCGGACCGAATCCGGCCCCGACAAGCAGAATCCATTGATTTGTTTTTAGCCGGTGAACACCTCTAATAGCAGCCATGTGACCTCCACACAGTGAGCGTGGTTAAGCACCCCTCCTCTGATCTCTCTTGTCCTAGATTCTTAAGCAGAAAACGGGCAGCAATGTAGGCGATCTCAAGCAGAAAGTAGGTAGAAAGTAAGTTCGAACAGATCTCTTGCAGCGAATCCGGGCCGAATCCGGCCCCGACAAGCAGAATCCATTGATTTGTTTCTAGCCGGTGAACACCTCTAATAGCAGCCATGTGACCTCCACACAGTGAGCGTGGGGTTAAGCACCCCTCCTCTGATCTCTCTTGTCCTAGATTCTTGAGCAGAAAACGGGCAGCAATGTAGGCGATGTCAAGCAGAAAGTAGGTAGAAAGTAAGTTCGAACAGATCGCTTGCAGCGAATCCGGACCGAATCCGGCCCCGACAAGCAGAATCCATTGATTTGTTTCTAGCCGGTGAACACCTCTAATAGCAGCCATGTGACCTCCACACAGTGAGCGTAGTAAAGCACCCCTCCTCTGATCTCTCTTGTCCTAGATTCTTGAGCAGAAAACGGGCAGCAATGTAGGCGATGTCAAGCAGAAAGTAGGTAGAAAGTAAGTTCGAACGGATCTCTTGCAGCGAATCCGGACTGAATCCGGCCCCGACAAGCAGAATCCATTGATTTGTTTCTAGCCGGTGAACACCTCTAATAGCAGCCATGTGACCTCCACACAGTGAGCATGGTTAAGCACCCCTCCTCTGATCTCTCTTGTCCTAGATTCTTGAGCAGAAAACGGGCAGCAATGTAGGCGATGTCAAGCAGAAAGTAGGTAGAAAGTAAGTTCGAACAGATCTTTTGCAGCGAATCCGGACCGAATCCGGCCCCGATAAGCAGAATCCATTGATTTGTTTCTAGCCGGTGAACACCTCTAATAGCAGCCATGTGACCTCCACACACTGAGCGTGGTTAAGCACCCCTCCTCTGATCTCTCTTGTCCTAGATTCTTGAGCAGAAAACGGGCAGCAATGTAGGCGATCTCAAGCAGAAAGTAGGTAGAAAGTAAGTTCGAACAGATCTCTTGCAGCGAATCCGGACCGAACCCGGCCCCGACAAGCAGAATCCATTGATTTGTTTCTAGCCGGTGATCGTAATTCGGCAGATCCAATTACGATTCCAATACTACCGAATTGCGGCTGCACTCATGTAGGTATGTAGGTGTGTATGTATGTATCTATGTAGCTTTGGTATGTAGGCGTTTTTAACTCAAACCTGCATCTACCAGCATTTTTTAATTCGAACCAAAAAGGAAAAAAAACATTGAAACTGCTTTGAAACCACTTGGAAACCCTAGGAAGCTAGAGCTCTGAAGCTCTGGCTCATATGTAGGTATGTAGGTGCTTTATGTATGTATGTATGTTTGTAGTAATATAGGTATCTATGCAGGGTTGCTATGTAGCCGTTTGCAATTCGGTTAAGTTGGAATCGCAATTCGGCATATTCAATTACGATGCCAATACTGCCGATTTTTGGCTGCACTTGTAGGTGTGTATATGTATCTATGTAGCTTTGGTATGTAGGCGTTTTTAATTCGGTTAAATTGGAATCGTAATTCGGCAGATCCAATTACGATTGCAATACTACCGAATTACGGCTGCACTCATGTAGGTATGCAGGTGTGTATGTATGTATCTATGTAGCTTTGGTATGTAGGCGTTTTTAATTCAAACCTGCATCTACCAGCATTGTTAAATTCAAACCAAAATGAAAAAACATTGAAACTGCTTTGAAACCACTTGGAAACCCTAGGAAGCTAGAGCTCCTATGTAGCCGTAATATATGTATCTATGCAGGGTTGCTATGTAGCCGTTTGTAATTCGGTTAAATTGGAACTGATGTAATTGGTTTCAGGTAGATTTTAACTACATCATGAGTGTAGAATCGAATTTGGTATACTGCTCATCTTGGTCAAGCTCTGGAACTCGTTTGAACGCAGCATATCTGCTGCATACGGCTATTATACGGCTCATTTTGGTCAAGCCCTGTAGATGAGCCGTATACTGGCCGTATACAGCAGCTCCAGGTACGGACGTAATTGGTTTCAGGTAGATTTCCTTTAAATCGGATTCGGAAGCTTCATCTAGGTTGTTATTTGGGTCTGAAACAGGTCTGAAACTCATTGGAACCAGTCCCGCCAGCGATTCGGACCCGTGTGCTGCTACGTAAGTGTCATGAGTGTTGATAACTAGCTTAGGTGACATTACTGACTCATTGCTAATCCCACTAATACGGATGAATACTTAGCTAGCCAAAATTCGCGCGTGTCCAAGATGAGCCGTAGATGGGCCGTATACTGGTCGTATACAGCAGAAAGTCTGAGTTCTAGTCGGTTCTAAGGCTGCACCGAGATGAGCCGTATACTAGCCGTATACTAGCCGTATACAGCAGAGAAGGTCCCAAACGGATGCTCTGCAAGTGCTGCTTTCTAAGGTTTCAGACTGCTTTCAAACTGGTTTCACATGGGCAAGCTGGTTTCAATTAGTTTTTAATTGTATGACAGTTTGAAATCACCTTGAAACCTTAGAAAGCAAAGCATGGAGAGCATCCATCCGTTTGGCAACCATTGAGATAGATCCCTTTGACAAAGAACAAAGAGAATATTCATCGGAAATCAATTGCGTCCGTACCGGGATCCGCAAACGCGGCTCCAGGTACGGATGTAATTGGTTTCAGGTAGATTTCAACTACATCATGAGTGTAGAATCGAATTTGGTATACTGCTCATCTTGGTCAAGCTCTGGAACTCTTTTGAACTCAGCATATCTGCTGTATACGGCTATTATACGGCTCATTTTGGTCAAGCCCTGTAGATGAGCCGTATACTGGCCGTATACAGCAGAAATGCTGAGTTCAAGTCAGTTCTAGGGCTTGACCAAGATGAGCCGTATACTAGCCGTATACAGCAGACATGCTGAGTTCAGGTAGATTTCAACTACCTTTTCTGCTCTATACGGCAAGTATACGGCTCATCTTGGTGAAGCCTTAGAACCGACTAGAACGCAGCATTTCTGCTGTATACGGCCAGTATACGGCTCATCTACGGCTCATCTTGGACACACGCGAATTTTGGTTATCTGAGTATTAATCAGTACTAGTGAGATTAGCACTGAGTCAGTAATGTCGCCTAGGTATCAACACTCATGACACTTACGTAGCAGCACGGGTCCGAATCGCTGGCGGGACTGGTGGTTCCAATGAGTTTCAGACCTGTTTCTGCACGCAGGTCAGCCCTGGCAACTTGTTTTGAACCACAAAGCGGCTATGCCGTCTCGATTTGGCGTGTCATCCTGTGCAGGTGGCTGTGCTAATCTTCTCTGACCTTCGCAGCAAGACTGAATCCTACACAACTGAACATGCCGTTTCACGTTTCAAATTGGAGTGTCTGACATCCATGCACTCCTCCCAGGATTGACATGTTTATTTCATGCAATCCTGCTTTCTGGAAAATTTTGAGCTCTCTAGGCCCAAGCCGCTAAGCACACCTTTGGCATGCGTCATATCCGATCAGCTCTCCCACAACCTTAGGGCACTTCTTCTTCGTATGGACTAACTGGTTCTTATCCATCATCATCACGTCAGCCACCAAGTAGGTGTCGCCACATTCACCACAAAGCGGCTTTCTTCCTTTCCAAGACTGTGCCAACGTCGGGCATCCACTGCTTCTATGGAATCTCCTCCCATTTGGTGTGATGATTGGCCCCACCAGGTTCGGCTTCTCTGCACTATCTGGACGCGCAGACCGAGCTCCCTCTCCTTGGTTAGGCTTTGCACCACTCGGACCCGCAGACTGGGCTCCCTCTCCTCCAGGGTTCCCACAGCGCCATCCAGGAGTGGGCACTGCTCCGCTCGGACCCGCAGACTGGGCTCCCTCTCCTCCAGGGTTCCCACAGCGTCGTCCAGGACGAGCAGACTGGGCTCCCTCTCCTCCAGGGTTCCCACAGCTCCGTCCTTGAGCGGGCATAGGAGGCACTGTCTGTGCTCCCTTTTTGTCATGTCGTTCCTCCGTGCCTTTCTCGGTTGTGTGACTGTCGCTTCTGGTAGCGGAGCTTCCTCCTTCCTGTCTTTTTTCATTGGAACCTTTATTTTCAGCTTTTCTCATCCTCAGAGTCGCCACTTTCACGGTGGTCTGTTCTCCTTCTTCACAACTTATCTCTTCTTCTTCTTCGCGTACATGAAGTTGGTGACGTTCTCGATCGCGCATGAAGCCGCGAAAGTCGCGCGTAAGGCCGCGAGAGTCGCGCATAAGGCCGCGAGAGTCGCGCATAAGGGCGCGAGAGTCGCGCGTAAGGGCGCGAGCTTGGCATTCCTCGTGATCTCTCTTCTCATGAAAGATCTTCCACATTCTTTCTACCAACTTGTACAAAACCACTCCAAGGATCATCATCAACAAGCCAAATGCCGCCAAAACTTCTGATCCTTCTTCCGTCTCACTCTTGTCCATGGCATATACTCTTTCTACCTTCTGAAGTACCGCCATGAGGGTGGCGATCTTTACCACCTTTTCCATATCTCCTGCAAAGACCTTCTTGGATACCGTCACAGCTGGTTCTCTGTCCTGTTCCTCTGCCAATTTTTCTTCCTCTTTCTCAATCCTTTCTTCCTTCGCTCTGGAGAAAGCTACTACATCTGGTAGCCATTCCAGATTCATCTTCTTTGACAGATCCTTCGTTTTGTTGGCACCAAGAAGCTTTGTACCCATGTCTGCGACGAGCTCTGTGCCCCGTCGATGGTGCATCTTCCAGTCTCCAGCTTCCACCC